TATATATATATATATATATATATACACAGTAAATACTGTATATAAAGAAAATATGTCAGGAAAACTGGGACATTACTTATACAGGAAGACATCTACATAATATTCAGAAAAAGTTAGGCTATACAAGGAAAGCAAGAAGAAACAGGAAATTAGAATCAATAATTACTCATATCAGAATAGGACACACAGGCCTTAATAAATCTCTTAAAATAATTGGAAAGCATGCAACAGGACTATGTGACAAATGCACAAGTAATCTCCATGAAACGGTTCAACATGTTTTTATGGAGTGGCCTGGGTATGAACCAGAAAGAAAGCATTTGAAAAAAAAAAAAAAAAAAATTATATTAACATTATAATTAGTGACATTTTTAGTAGTGATATCAGTAAAGTAAAAGACCAAATTTTTATTTTCTTGAAAAATACAAACTTAATAGAGATAATTTAGTTGAGTTATTATATAAATTTTACAGAATTTGTTTTTTTTTCCTGTTTATCTCCTGTCCAGACTCAAATTCAGTAGGTGACGGTAATGCACCTTACAGTTGGTCTTCCAACTGTCATAAAACAAAACAAGAAGAAGAACTAAACATGAACAAGAACTATGGCAGGCAGGACAGAAAACGTGACACAATAGGCATGTTACCAGAATAAATATTAAGAGTATCAGGTTCAATAGGCTTGTAGATGAACATATGCTGTGATATATTCATAAATTAAACGGATTCTTTCATTTTTCTGGACTGAATAATGTCGTGCATTGAATTTAATAAAATGTATCGTGAGACGTTAATTTTCTTTGACCCATCAAAATGAATGCGGTCATTTATTTACAGAATCAAAGTTTAACATCACACATTTACATTAATTTGGCAAATTGAAAAATAACAACATGGCTAATTTAGCAAGTTTTACAAGGAGGAAACCATACGGCGATGGTTTCCCTTGCTTCCAGCTGTACAACAGACATTTCTAAAAATATCTGGAATGATTTCTAGCAGATATAAGAGTTTAAAGATGGAAATTGAAGTTTAAGTTGAGAGAAAGGATGGATGAGGGAAATGTGTGTGTCGGCATCAGAACGGCACTCTCCGGTGAGTTCCCAGCTTCTTCCCCGGTACACTTAGGTGGTATAAATCAACTCTTTACCTGGAGGAGATGTCTCCACTGGTACGAAGTTCCATTTAACGCACCCTTTCAGCGTCTCCGTAGGAACAGCTGTGAATCGTCGGAAGTAGTGACGGTACTTGTTCGACACAAGTTCACCTCTTGGTGGACTCACATGAGTGGAGTCCGTCATAAGTTCCACTCAGATGTGGAAGATTGCATAATTCCCACAAGACTCGGAAGAGCTCTGGATCATGCCTGGACTTCTGTTCTCCCAGCACTTCTTCCGTTCATTTAAGAGACTGCTCCCAGAACTGAACTCGACTGCACTCGACTGGAGCCCAACCTGAAGCTGGTTTGAACTAGGATGTACCGACATTTAAAGAGCTCTATTTCCGGTTCATTTGGGAGGTTCCTGATTGGTCAAAATCGACCAGACAGGGGTGTGTTTTTGTGACGTAAGAGGTCACTAGAAGTCAGAAAAACAGAAAGTGTTTTGGAACAGATTGAAAATGTTTTTACAGACAGACGAGAGGAATATTTAGGCGAGTTGGGGGAAAACAGGTGCCAGCCTCTATATTTACGTCTGAGAGGATTTAAAAACATGACAGTTCGTTCCAACAACTTGTTTTGCGTTTGACTCCAACCTTGGACCAACTTACACTTGCTCATTCAAAGACAGAAAATCAGAAAATGCATAATTACTCTGTAACAGACCTTAACGTGATTTCTACTTTGAATGAGGATTAAAAATCACTAATACTGTTTCACAGTTGATTAAAAATTATTAGTTCACTTCAACATTTAAAAATGGTTTGAACTAAACACACTTTGGTTATCAAACATTTGTAAAATAATAATGATAATAAAAAAGAGAATGTTCTTTCAATTGATCAGTGCAGGACACTTAGAAAGTCTCTGGATGAACTTAATCTTGTGTTTCTGGACTCAAATCAATGAAATACAGTTCTTGTTCCAGGCAGGCTCTCAAGGCCAGATTTTGACCTGAGGCTTAGTTCACTACAGTCCCCCCTTTGGAAATCATCGCCTGTCCATGGGGATGAATTCTAACATGAACTTACGCCTTCGAATGTCCTTGAGCTTGATGTAATCCAGCAAGGAAAACAAAAGTCAAAGGAGGTAATCCCACAATGTTTTTGGTAATTCCATTGTAGCAATGCTTTACCCCTTGGAAACAGAGTCTGTAATCCATTGGAAAAAGTCATATAATCCACAACGGTAAATCCACAACGAATGGAGGTGTTGATTGATCAGCATACAGAGGGGTTCCCTTGGATTGAATTGAAGATGCGGCCACTGGCTGAAGAGTGGAGACCAACGTCAGGATTGCAGGTCTCCTCCAGCGAAGGTCGTCTCTGGGCGACGTCCAGTCTGTGCCGTTCTGGTTCAATGTGACATGCAATTATGTGGTTTAAGGTGGGCTTATGAAGGGGATTTTACATAAGGCCTTAACCTATATGCACCTGGTGTGTAAGCTATTATGATTGGGAACAGCTACAACTACCAGTTAAG